CCCCAAAACCCCAAAACCCCAAAACCCCAAAACCCCAAAATATCCAGACATATTGTAAAGATTAAAAGAATTTCAGGATTGGATTATGCATAGATTTCTCTAAAAGCTCTTCCTCACTAGCCTTTACAAATTTGGAGATCATATCCATATTTTCCCGATTTTTCATCTGAATATACGCCTTAGTTAGCTCAATGCCTTTCGAAAACTCCTTTTTCTCCATTTTTATGACTGAATGTAGCTCCTGGACCTCCTTCAGGACATCAAAGTCATACTCAGAGGTATTTTTGGTTAAGATTTCGTACAAACTATTTGACATGTCGAGATGTTCCATTATCTGGTCAACCTGAAGGTACAAATTCTTGCTCTCAATAGTCATGATATTCATTGTATCATTTACCTATGATTTAAGGGCTGAAATACCTTTTTCATCAGCAGTTGTAGGTTTCCCTGAAATTGTTCAAATAAGAGATTCAGGTCGGTAAGGTAATCATTCTGGACAACTACAGCCTTATTCATCACTAAGATTTGCTCTTTGATAAAAATTGTTCTCTCTTGGTTATAGCATTCTTCAGCGAGTTTGAGAATTTGTAGCCACCTATCATAAATCTCATTCAAAGCATTCTGTTGTTGCTGTTTAAATGATCCCTCCAATTTTTGGTTTACTAAAATCCATTGATACAACTGAGATTTTAGGTTATTAAAGTCCCTCAATTCGAGTTTGATCAGAGAAGATCCAGAAGGAGTGGTCATTCTTCCTCCAAATTCAGAGCCACATAAGGAAGATCTACCACTGAGGGATTGCCTTCCACTCATTGGCACTACACTCTGTCGAGTCGCATTAGGCTTTAACTCAGAGTTACTGATATCAACTCTAAAAATAAGCCTAGACACTTACTTTCAATAGTTGCTGGCATAAGGCTGAATTCCCTTAGGCTTCATTGTTTTCCTCTTATTAGGAGTAACTAAAGAGACACGGACTTCCTCCTCTACGATCTCCTTTGCAGGTTTGGGCTGATACTTAACTTCTACTTCCTTTGAAATTTCTAACATTTTTGGCTTGATAGCCTTCTTCTTTTTTGTCAACGATTGGTTCAACTGATTTTCCTTTATTTTCTCGTTATTTTAACCTCAACAATTTGCTGGCTTTAGTCTCTCTAGGAACGATAGATGGCTTCTTTGCGGTTTTATTCGTAGTTTCAGGTCTAGAATTTGGTCTTTTATTCTCCTGAGCTTCAATAGTTTTAGGCGCCTTGCTAACCTTAGTTTCTTCTCTAGCTTTGTTAGTCCTCTCCTATATAATAAGCCTGAATTGCAAATCGATATCATACCTTGACAACAGTAGGGGGCTTGCTTCTATACATTTTGCGCAATTATTTAAACTCTTAATAAATCAATTGATTATAAAACTTTTGGGGTTTTGGGGTTTTGGGGTTTTGGGGTTTTGGGG